GTCTTGAGTTTGTAGATCGTCATCTTCAGCAGTTACTTTTACTATATAGGGAAGACTTCCTATGTCTTGAGTAAGTAGACCGTCATCTTTAGCAGTTACTTTCACTGTATATAGGGAAGGACTTCCTACGTCTTGAGTTTGTAGATCTTCATCTTCAGCAGTTACTTTTACTGTATAGTGAAGACTTCCTACGTCTTGAGTTTGTAGATCTTCATCTTCAGCAGTTACTTTTACTGTATAGGAAAGACTTCCTACGTCTTGAGTTTGTAGATCGTCATCTTCAGCAGTTACTTTCACTGTATAGGGAAGACTTCCTATGTCTTGAGTTTGTAGATCGTCATCTTCAGCAGTTACTTTTACTGTATAGGGAAGACTTCCTACGTCTTGAGTTTGTTGATCGTCATCTTCAGCAGTTACTTTTACTGTATAGGGAAGACTTCCTTCGTCTTGAGTTAACTTTGTAGATCGTCATTTTCAGCAGTTACTTTTACTGTATAGGGAAGACTTCCTACGTCTTGAGTTTGTAGATCGTCATCTTCAGCAGTTACTTTTACTGTATAGGGAAGACTTCCTACGTCTTGAGTTTGTAGATCTTCATCTTCAGCAGTAATTGTTACTGTTTAGGGAAGACTTCCTACGTCTTGAGTTTGTAGATCTTCATCTTCAGCAGTTACTTTTACTGTATCGGGAAGACTTCCTACGTCTTGAGTTTGTAGATCGTCATATTCAACAGTTACTTTTACTGTATAGGGAAGACTTTCTACGTCTTGAGTTTGTAGATCGTCATATTCAGCAGTTACTTTTACTGTATAGGGAAGACGTCCTTCGTCTTGAGTTTGTAGATTGTCATCTTCAGCAGTTACTTTCACTATATAGGGAAGACTTCCTACGTCTTGAGTAAGTAGACCGTCATCTTTAGCAGTTACTTTCACTGTATATAGGGAAGGACTTCCTACGTCTTGAGTTTGTAGATTGTCATATTCAGCAGTTACTTCCACTAGGAAGGCTTTATAGGTCTTGAGTTAGTAGATCGTCATCTGCAGCAGTTACTGCTACTGCTGCTGTTACTCCATTAAGTTCTCCCACCCTTTTGTCTAGATCTCGAGTTGATGTTACATCACCGTCGGCATGTTCAACCGATACGTCTTCTGTATATGGGAGATTGTCTTGTTCGCTGTTTTCATTAAAATCGTTAACCGTATTTTGAAGGATTTCTTCAGTTTGGATTTCAGCATTATCATGATGATGATCATATGCCGTTTGTTGGTACTGCCATTGGAGCCATGTTATTCCACTTTTTAATTTCTTTTACAGAGTTCAGGGAACAGTTTTTCTCTCTTCTGAGTCAAATTTGCAGCAAACTATCCACTTCTTTTCGTCATTAAAGGTACAGTAGCAAAACTGACGAGTACTACATGAAAAGATGAGAAAAGAATGACAAAAGTTGGTGCATTTAAGAACCGCAAAATGGTTTAAAGAAACCTGTTAGGGGCTTGACTCTGAACCTTTAGTCATTTTTATAATAGACTGGATGCTAAAGATAAGAATATAATACATTTTGCAGACTTACGATTAAGCTCGAAGGAATATGTCCACCTACCTTTTTCTCATCACAAGGCGGTATAAGCCGGTGCTGTGCGAGCGTCAGACGGCCTTACTAAAACCCAACAACAACAACAAAACAAGTCGGAAATAGCCTCCTTAACAGTATGTAATCGTAATATAAATAGTGTCATATTGTAATTATGATGAAGAGGGCAAGGAAGGGTACACACACTGAAATTATAATTATTATTAATATTCATATAGTTATTGATATATATAAAGGAATGTAAAACAAAAATATACATTTTTTTCACAAGAAATTACCAATTTTTGTCAGGAGGAAATCGGAAGTTGAAAATACAAGACATGAAAATATGGACCCCGTTTAATATCTGTCACATTTCTATAACAAATTTGTCAATTGTAATTTTTATAGCCAATCAAATGCAAGCAATTCTGTATAGCTTATATTAAAGCTATCATGAGTTATTATTAATAACAAGTTAAATGAAAAAAACAGAGCCCTGATTGAGCAGAAAGGAAGAAGAATACTATTGACTTTTAAGATCGTGTTATTCCTATACCTGGCTAATACCAGGCTGCCTTAGTCCTTATCTGGCGATTGGTGACCATAATGTGCACCGGCCCCTTCTGATTACTTTCTTCCACTTTTGTCAGTTTGACCATAATCTGCACCCCTTTTGATCACTTACCTCCACATGCCTATTCTGTGTTGATCTCTTGGTACCTGGAATGTGAGGCCATGCAGTCATTTCCTTGATATTGTACAACCACAGCTTTCTCTGCCTGCCTCTTTTCCTCTTTCCTTCCACTTTCAATAATTGTCTGTGCTGCTAGGGGTATCCCATTACCCTTTAGGATGTTACCGAGATTCCTAGTTTCAGGCTGACTACCTTTCCAAGGAGCTCTATCTTTGTGTTAGGTTCCTTCAAAATAATTATGTAAGTTTGCTTGTCCTTTCTACTGATCTTCAGCAGTTCCCTCCATATCCACATCTCTGCTTCCATTATGCGGTTGAAGAGCATCTCATGTAACAAAGGGAGAAAATATGACTACTTCGTTTAACTAAAGGTCTAGACAATGGGGTACTTTATTGTATTGTACAAGTATGTGTATCATTTTGAAGTGAAAGATAGTTAATTGAATGAATACTGATAGTTATAAAACAATATCTATATCGAATAGTTTGCAGTGTCGTTCTTTCATGTGTGATTCCTAATTAAGTTACCATGGATTTGAGAGGAAGAGTAGTTGAGTAAGAAATGCTTGAAATGATGAATAAACTAGTAAGCAGAATCATCAGAGGGTCTTACCAAATTCATTCCTACTACACAAAAAAGCAGCCGTTTATTCTTGTGACTATAGATATAGGGATTTCGGCAATGGAGCTCGCTGAACAGTGATTGTAAATGTGGTATTCTATTTAAAAAAAAATAAGTGCTTTTACATTGTAAGTCAGTCCTCTCTTTGTTTTGATTTCTCTGACACACCGGTCACTGATATTTTTGAAAGATATTATGCTCCATGAATTATACATATTCACAGTTCTATTATCATTATAATTATCATTATTAGAGGTAGCAGCAGCAGTAGTAGTAGTAGTAGTAGTAGTAGTAGTAGTAGTAGTAGTAGTAGAAGTAGTAGTAGTAGTAGTAGTAGTAGTAGAAGTAGCAGTAGTAGTAGTAGTATCAGCAGCAGCAGCAGCAGTAATAGTAGTATAGTAGTAGTAGTAGTAGTAGCAGTAATAGTAGTAATTCAATTCAATTTATTATTTCATAACAAATCACATACAATATATTGTAATCGACGGGGGTTATGATTGGGGATACGTACATATCAAATACGCAGTGCTTTAATCACGTTAATTATGACACTACCCCTCAATGTTATGCAAGCCACAGCATTGTGCCGAGGCTAGCTAGAAGCTCCTCGAAACACATTTTGACCTGGTGTCATATACCGACCTTTGAAAGAAATCAGAATAGGGTAATATGAAAGATTTTTGAAAAAAATCAATTCTTCTTCATTGGGATTTCCAAATGTTTTAAAAAATAGACTGCATTCATAAAATTATAAACATTGAAATGTTCGATGAACCTTTATGACAGAGATAAGGCCAAATAGGTTACGAGGCGTATTATGACGTCACACCTGTGGTTCGACAGCCATCCGTCTCGTAGCCGATTCGACCTATTAGTAAATAATTTATTTCAGACCGGAATGCTTGAAATATACCCACACAACTTTTGATATAAAATAAAAGAGCTCATTCTTTCCCTCACTTTAGAATGTTAATGTAGTAATGTTGTGAAGTGCGACGTTCTTAACTGTTAGCAATCTAGTATTATTTGATGTTTTTTTGCGAGAATAACCATTAATAAAAAAATGATACTGTTCATTCAGATTTATCCCGATGTATACTCTGACAAACGTTAAGTCATCAAGGGGTGATTTTATGTGCAATTTTAGTTCTGATGTAGGCCTATCCTTCTTTGTCTGTGTGTTAATTTTGTTTCTGCATTGTTTCGAATGAAAACACTTTTACAAGAGTACTTGAAAGAATGGAGCACTTTATACAATTAGTGAACGTGAAATTATGATGTATCTATCTATTGCTAGTCAGTGCTTGCATGGTACACTAGTAAACAAACGCTTTAATTATCTGAGCACGACCGTAATTATTTTGATAGCGGCATAATTATGCAACATGTAAAGAAGAAACCATTACTGCATTTATGTGCCCACATTGTACATTTTTCCTCTGTTCATTGCTCATTTTCATCATTATTTTGTATACTTTTCACTATCTCTAATGGTCTTGTACCAGATACATTCTGTGTTTTGCGGGAAGACGTTTCGTTTGATATTCAATAGCACAATTAATAGTAATACAAACAACAACAATTTTTTTAACGCAATCATTGTCGTGTGGATCTCAAAGATATATGTATTTGATTTTAGAGTGCTAACTGGTCTTAATTGGTTGTTGTAAACCACCAAATTTGATAAATTTCGTTTCATATCGGCGATTACTTTTGCTGTCTTTTTAACAAGAGTTTACTCGCGCCACTTTTACAAGTCGATGATGATGATGATGATGATGATGATGCCGGGGGGGGGGGGGGTCATGTCACTGTAATAAAGATATTGGCCATGTTGTCGAAGGGACCTTGAAAAGGACCATTTGACATGGTCAATACGCCCCCCCCCCCCCCCCTGCATAATGTACTTTAAAACTGAAAATCGTGATCTCAATAAATAAAACAAGTTTGAGCATGATGGTAACCCTCTTGGCGTGGATGGCACACAGGTTGGTGTCCTCAAAGATTTATAAAACAAGTTTTTAGTTTCAGCCAATTTTTTTTCTTTTACTATTTGTGTTTTAGACTGTACCATAACAAATCAAATTTAATATGGTCGGAATGTTCAGTGAAAGCGGCATAGCAACCTAACTTGTTTCGCCGCATCAACAATCTGTGCGGGTGTGGAAAAAAAATGGATCAAACCAAAAAACCACTAAGAATTCCACCTCAATTTGGCACGTACGCTGAGAGGCATGGAGTATTTGAGTTGTACAAGGTAAGGAACAATCGAAACCCACTTTTTCCATGATGAGTCTTGTTTAATTTATCTCCTAAAACGGTTTGCTTCGAGTGCTGCAGGTAATGCAAACCCACGCACTTGTTTTTGTGTACCAATCTCTTTGTTGTTGTCCCTCCGCTTTTCGGAGATCAGCGAGTTTATCGCATTCGAAGTAGTATGCTGCTGTAAATATGTTATAACATCCTTAGTTGGAGGGTATGGAGTGCAGGCGATGGGCATGAATTTTGTAAAGATAGTGAAGTGTCATCTTTAAAATAGAATCATTGACAGTGGAGGGAAGGTATGGATCATATGGCAAGAAGAGAATAGCGCAGGTCAGATGGGAAGGGTCCTGGGTGTTGAGCAGTGGTGTATTTGGTGCAGGAGTCTACTGCTCTGTCGATAAGGTCTTCCAGAAGGTTGACAGTAGTCGAGCAGGCAGCCACAGCGTGAACTACAGTATCCTCCTCAAGATTGCAGAGAGGACACTTTGTGTTGGTTGCTTTCTTAATCTTCCATAACTGCTCTCTCACTCACTGTATGATTTTTTTTGGCGCTATCCAAAATTTGACCCGTAACTCTGGTGTGGAGATACCCTACTAAAACATAGATCTACCCAAAATGAAGTAAATATTCATTAAATGTCCAAATAAAGATCAGGAGTTAAAAGTCGTTAGGCCTATATTATTACCTGTTTCGGGTCAATTTTCAGCGCTAGATGTAGTTCCGTATCCATTTTTTTAGCAGTTTAATATCCATTCTTAGCAAATGAATTTTAGCCCAATTTTTAAGTAATTTTAATCATAATCATATATTGCATTTTCCACCTGAATTTGGATCACATTCGACATCGGGAAACCTACGTTTAGGGCTTTGATGTCGATGTCGTCGCTCAGTACCGTCTCTACGCGTTAGTCCTGCACCTCTAACTGAATGCAGACTTATGCAGACTTCTCGAATGCGCGATACCATAAACCATACGAGAAGTCTGCATAATTTTGTACTGATAGCTTCAGTTTGAGGTGCAGGACTACAGCGTAGAGACGGTACTGAGCGACGACGTCGACATCGAAGCCCTAAACGTAGGTTTCCCGATGTCGAATGTGATCTAAATTCAGGTGGAAAATGCAATATATGATTATGATTAAAATTAGTTAAAAATTGGGCTAAAATTCCTTTGCTAAGAATGGATTTTTAAACTGCTAAAAAAAAATGGATACGGAACTATACTAGTGCCCAATTTTCTTGTTATTTTTGGAATATTTTTTGGAAAAACGATGATGATATCTCGGCGCTGTTCAGAAACCTAGATTCAAGATTCAAGATTTATTTATTTCTTTCCACTTGCATAAAAAAACATTTCATTCAGGAACAGTAGTAACAAGTTCATCGTCAACTAGCATAAATACATTAACAATGAAACAGTTATAAAGACTTTAACAAATGTGGAAAAAGAGGTGGTCTGTTAAAAAGCACAGCTTGTTAAAACACAGATCACCTTTACAGAAACAACATTTTTTTAAAGAAAAAAAAATATCCAAAATTTGACCTGTAACTCCGGCATGGAGATACCCAACTAAACATACCCAAAATTAAATAAATATTCATTTAATGGGGCCTGTCACCACGAAATGAGTCCAGTTGGTCAAAATTTTTATTCCTGTTTTTAAGTATTATATGAATCTACATTAAGTAAGCTTTAAATTTAGGGGTCACACATTAAAATTGATAAATTATATCCAGAAATATGAACAAAAACCTAATTGGACTTTATAAACAATGGGATTACCCAGTTTTTAGATAATTAGGTGTAAAGTTAATGATGCGTAACATAGCCTATATTATTTGCCAAAAAATGTTAGAAGGAGATATTTTCGTGACCTAAGCTCTGGGGACATAAACTACAAGACATTAATAAGTCGATTTTTGGAAAAATCTTAAATGTGGTAGGTGGGTCAATTTTCAGTACATACACACTATACATCGCTATTACTACGATTGAGCCTAATGCGACACTGGACTCATTTCGTGGTGACTGGCCCAAATGTCAAAATAAAAGTCGTCATGATTGTATACAGTCTATGCACTATTGTGTGGTGTGTGTATTTGTGTATGGGTCTAATAATAACTGCCTCACACTCACAGCAAGCATGCAGTGCTAGAGGTCAATACGCATTAGCATTGACTCTCTATGCTTTGCTGGAGTGATGATAATGCACATGTACCATCTTAGGCCTATACGTGAGACCAAATAAACCTTACAATATATAGATTAAACCTATTTTCATTATTTGTTTCTTTATCTATCAGAGACTGATTGAAGGTCTAATTATCAGCAAACCACAGGATCCATTGGATTATCTCCTTGAACAACTGAAGAGAGAAAATGATGACAGTAAGTATTTAATGCAGATAATTAAAATAGTTTTTTGTCATTGTTATTAAGATCATGATAATGCTAATGGTGATGATCATGATCACTGTTATCTCATCATCATCATCATCATCTTTTTCATCATATTGTTATTGTTGTCGTTCTTGTTCTTATTGCTAGTAGTAGTAGTAGTAGTATTAGTAGTAGTAGTAGTTGTAGTTGTAGTAGTATTAGTAGTAGTATTAGTTGTAGTAGTATTAGTAGTAGGGTAGCGCGCCCAGTATTCGGTCCATTCCCAGTATTCGGTCAGACAGCCGTTTCAACAGCTGTAACAATTTAAAAAATAATTTATGAGCCACGAAACTTGCACAAATCAGGCAGCTGAACAAATTTTCTTAACTCTCAAAATTAAATCAGATTTAGGGCCCCGGAAAGAACTCCAACTTAGCTCGAAATTGGTCAGTGTCGCACAACTTTCTGCACTTCCGCGTTCTGTTAGCACATGCGCTAACATGCATAGCCATATGTAGAAGTCTATTGCGAAACAACTACGTGTGCTGTCGCAATGAATTTAGTATGTTTGTGAAGAGAATCACTTCCGTGTTCACTCCATCGCAGCGAATTTGCAAATGACGCACTTGCCGATGTGCAAGAGGTATTTATACGATACCCTTACCATGCGGTATCGCTCGTCCAGTATTCGGTCAACGCATTGACATTCAGTGCTTTATCACGCAATTGTGTGAAAATAGTGCGCAAATACGCTTCGCTCCTTCAACCTTGGCAACGGAGATACCACGCACAAATCGCGTGACCGAATTCTATTCTGCGCGACCGAATTCTGGGCAGAAAAATGCTCCGTCTTCTTTCGGAAGTATTTTGCTTATCATTATTCTATATTTTAAGTGACTATAAAATCCTGTTAGGGGAATAAATTTCTTTTCTTTTGATGGGTAGATTGCCAAATAAAAGAGGTAAGAATTCAAAATATTAGCGATTTCCCCGTGACCGAATACTGGACGCTCTACCCTAGTAGTCGTAGTGGTGGTGGTGGTGGTGGATATGTAACAAATAATCAGGATGGAAAAAATGTGAAGTAAATCCAAGATAGAACACACATGTATGCCACATGTATGTCAATCAAGCATGCCATGCACTAAATGTACATATTGTACATATGTGTCCATTAAAAATCATAGTTTTTAAGTGTAAAAGAATAATGTCTGTTGAAACATGTACATGTAGTTGCATGTCAGAGTCATTATTTTTAGAGGCATTGAGATACCGATGGGGGGTTTACTCAGCAATGTACAAATAGAGTATGAATGTCTGTAGACACTTTGAGGATAGTGCATAATTTATTCATCAATCATTTCACCCTCTGCATTTGTCCAGCTCCAGCAATTGTTATTCATGGTCCTCCAGCATCGGGCAAGACGACCATAGCTCGCTTGGTGTCCAATCAGCTGAAGGCAGCTTATATCAGCAAAGAGACTCTCTTAGCAGACGATGTGTCAACCGCCGCAGCTAAAGCAAGAACTTGCCAGTCCAGCGGAGAGGTATTGCATTATATATGTGTATTGGTTGTAGAACTTGTAGGTCTCTAGAAGAGTGCCATAGGTGTTAAAGATAAAGACCAGTTCTGGTCATGCGATTGCATTGTGAAAGAAACGTTGTGGAATCGATCAGAAAAGGTTGATCATCTAGCATGTAAGTATTAGTGTGTACAAAATGATAAGAAATTTGGCCCAGTCTTGGTAAAGTTACAATCACTGTGCACATAAAGATGTATATGGGACTACGCGACACGAGCACGACACGTGCGCGATATCTATCAGGTCCAAATTGATATAATAATTTACCAAATATATCAACTAGTAGACAGTTTCTCTGCAAATTTGTATCATCACGTACATGTATTAGTCAAAACATATTCTTTCACATGATTGGTAAGAAGAGCTTGCATTTCATTTTTTGAAAGGGGGGCGTTTCCAAAACTGGTCTTTACCTTTAAGGGCAAGCCTTGGTGGACTGTCAGAAGAGCACCGTATAGCCAAACTTTAAGGGGAACTCCTCCCAAATGATAAGTTGATTGTGATAGAAGCACACAATTAAAGAAACAGATCAGTGCATGAAAGAATGAGAGAAATCTGATGAAAAGTAATGAATTTATGGATTTTTAATAGTGGAAATGCATCAAACACAAAATGACAACTCTGCGACATACCTTTCAAGGTCCTGTCCCATTTTGTCTGTACTGAAAAGCTAAGAAAATTATATTTTCCCAAAAGAAATATTAAATCAATAAAATCATACATGTGCCCTAGATGTAACCATTGCACATGTTTACGCAACCCCTGTATAAATCTCTCTCTTCATCAACAACTAAAGTAAAGGGAATTTATTAAATATTCTATTGTTATTATAACATCTCAGTAAAATGAAAATTTATAACATCTCTTAATATCTGTTAATTTTTTTTTCCAGCCAATCCCGACAGAGTTGTGGGTTGAGCTGATCAGGAACAGAGTGAAGCTGTTTGATTGCATCAGGAAGGGATGGGTCTTAGATGGGTTCCCGGACACCAGAGAACAGGCCCTGGCCCTGCAGGAGATCGGCATCAACCCTAAACATTTTGGTAAGCAAGAGAGGGGATGGAAAGAGAGAAAGAGAGGGGGTGGGAGAGAGAGAAAGAGAGGGGGAGGGAGAGAGAGAGAGAGAGAGATGGGGAAGAGAGAGATGGAGGGAGGTAGAGAGAGAGAGATAGGATTGAAAATAGGAAAAGAAATAAAAATGGAGAGAAAAAAGAAAGAAAGAAAGGAAATAAAAATCAGGGAGCCGGGAGAGGGAAGGGAGGAGTAATGACTGTAAGAAAGGGAGGCTTAGTTATGGATGTGGATGGAATGAGAAAAGATTGGGAGAGAATAGCAGACGGGAGAGTAGAGAGGGAGAAACGAGAGGGAGAGAGAGGATGTGAGATGGCAGAGACAGAGATGGTAGAGATAAGACAGAGAGAGCGAAAGGAGAAGGAAGAGTAGCAGACAGAGAATATAAATGAGAGTAAAAGAAGAGTTGGGGAATAGAGGTCTGGGTGTTTGGGTGGAAATGAATAGGCAGTCAATAATTAAGGATGAAGTTTGTATTTCATTTTCACCAATCCTTAACTTTACCATGGCTGTCAAAAACAGACTTTCCCTGTGCTTTTTGGAAAACATATTTCCTCATCAAAGTGCTTGCAATTTAAAAAAAAATATGCTGTAGAATCAGTTACCCACCCTAGATGATTGATACTTTATAGCTATTTTTACAGATACATTTTATTATTTTAATGCAGTTGTTTTGGAAGCCCCAGACACAGTGCTGATTGAGAGACAGATGGGCAAGAGGATTGATCCCGAGACAGGGGGTAAGTTTTCCTCTTAATTATCTCCAAAGCATTGGTGCTATGGTGTCCAGAGGGAGAATAAGGGGAATATGAGATTTACATGTACACCATTGCATTGCAGTTGTTTGCTGCATAATGATTAATCAGACAGATATCAAGTAGTAAGCATTCTGTCTGATGTCACAATTGGTAATTTTACTTTATAGTTTCATATTCTGAAGATAACTAAAAGGGCCTGACCCCAACAACAGCCCAGGACACATGGACATCCAAAATCTAAGTCTTCACCTCCAAATTAAAAGGTGATAACATAGGGGTTAGTTCTGCGATGATGCACACCTTTGAAAATGTAATCCAGACCCCCTGTGAAAAAGTCCATGTGGAGCTCTTCATATTCTGTTTATTTTTCCTCTCTATTCAGAAAGATCACAGAAGGATCACCTTTATTTTACTTTTCTCCATTGTCAGATTTAGGTTCCTTTGGTGATTTGGAGCCTCAATGTGGCCCTGTCACATCTTTTGTGTTGATTTTAATTCCATTTGATGTATATGGAAAAAAAAATCAAATTAATGTTCAAATATTGAATCGTGGTGACTCAGTTGGCTACGGTAATAAATGCGAATAACAGAAAGCTAATGGTGACAACAATGGAAAGGCGTAGAAGTTTCGTAGTAGATTCATGGTGTACAAACACTTGACTTGAAATGCGCATAGAACGTGGGTTTGATCCCCAGCGTGGCACGTAATCCCTTAAAGCATGGCATTTTATGTACATTGCTTCTCACTACCCATGGTTTAAATGGATACCTGGTAGGATGAGAAAGCCATTATAATTTGCTCAACATTTTGAGTGTCTGTAATATGGCTCCTGGCTGCAATGATCCCCAGGGAGTGTACAATGTGCATACATTGTGTGTTGTCAAGCCTGAATCCGATGGCCGAGGTAATATTTCTGTAAAGCGTTACTCAGACCGCACTTTCAGAACTCCACTAAAGACATACATATTTCAGATTGCTTACAATTAGTCACTGCTTTTTTTGTCTTTCCCAGTTAGAATCATGAACATACAGACATTATTTGTAGTTTTTCAGTCTCATCAGCGCATTTGATTAGGCAACTAGATATTGGCGCTTTATAAATTCCTGGACTGGATCGGATTGGAAGAGGCATCGTAGATGTATGCAGTGCTATGTAAACACAGAATATTAATATTATTATCATAATAACCGTATTCTGTCCTCCTACAGATGTATACCACACCACGTTCGACTACCCCGGTAATGGTGATGTGGAGAAGAGACTGGTGGAACCCCCTGAGGGGTGCGGAGAGGAGGCCATGGTGGATCGACTGATCCTCTTTCATCGCTTCATCCCGGGTCTCAAGGTAGCCTATGAGCAGTACACCAAGTCCATCAATGCCGATCAACCAAAAGCTGATGTCTACTCGCAAGGTAAATAGTAAATTAAGTAATGGGGAAGTTGTGATGTACTTGTTTCTAGGTATTTAGGATAATGTAATATAAACTACAATTCATAGGTGTGGAATAGCAGACACCTTGTTTGCAAACTGAAAACTATCATTCAGGCCTGATAACAACCCGGTTTCCTGATTTAAAAAAAAAAAAAAAAAAAAAAAAAATATCACAATTGTTTTGTCTTCCATAAATGGACAGTCCCTGAGATTGATGTAAATGTAAAACGTCTTTCTATAACTTGCTTGAACGCCTTGTGCTTTAAAGCACTCAGATTTATAAAACCTCTTTTTTTCAAACTCAACTCTCATTTAAATTCTCCTTTTCTTTAGCCCCCACCATCACCCTTGATCATTTTACGTGTATTTATTTTTTTATTTATTTTTTATTTTTTAAAGAATAGAATTTAATAGAAATGTGGTCATTGATAGTGTATGGCAGCTCATTTTATAGGTACACTTTAGCTCACTGCAAGTTAACCACAACGATATTGTTACACTATATATTATTGTAGAGAGAGGAATGGATCAGTAACAATAGGGACTTTTAGATTCTGACTGACGAGAACGTGGACTGCCCTTTTAAGGCAATGTGAGTTCTTTTAAGGCACTGGCAGTGACGTCACATTGCCTTAAAAGGGCAGTCTGCGTTCTCGTCGTGCAGAATCTAAAAGTCCCTATTATAGGTCAAAAGTCTTCGCTCACAACTCATCAACTTTAACTTTGTTCAAAGGTTTTTTTTTTATTATTCCTTTTCATCTTTTTTTTTCAGATAAGATTTTAATCTAGGTGTTTTTTATATTGTTTCAGTCTTCTTTCCTTCCTTACATGTAGCTTTTTTTCTTCTTTGTTATATGCTCCAGAGATTATACAGTGCGTACCTGAAAAAACGAAACCAAGAGTTATCAATGTTTTTAAATGACACATATTTGTAAAGCTTAGATCCTCCTCTTTCATTTGATGCAACTCATATGATGCTTATTTCATGCATGAGTGATTAAAATTAATACAAAGAGAGGGAACCAAAATGTCATTTGGCAGGCGGTATCTGAATTTCAAAGAGAAATCACATTTCTAGAAAGTTCAGTTTCTGCCCTAATTCATATGATATGACACCTCAATCAGGAAAATGAGCAAGGAATAACAAAGATCTGTTTGTTTAGAGTGATGCTTGCATTTCCATAATTTGATTTTAAAAGTATGTTTTCACTGGTTGCCTGTCCTAGCAACAAATGGAATTGACAAAAGACTCAAATCTGTTTTGTTGACGATCAGACATAGACGAAAGACCTCATGCATGGCTGATTGTCAATGAATTCACAAATCTTTTTTCCAACTGTTTAGAGATCACGTTAAGTTTGAGAGTTTAGACAAGGTACCTGTGAGAAGACATTTTTTTAATGCTAGAGGTATAATGATGTGATTGCCAGGCCCTCAGGGAAAGGAAAACAGTATTACTGCTGATGACATCATCTCATCATCATATCATCATCTTCATCATCCCCATCAACATCATCATCATCATCATCATCTTCATCTTCATGATCCTCATTATCATCATCATCATCTTCATGATCATCATCATTGTCATCATCATCATCATCATCATATCACCATATACCATATCATATCTCAGGGACAACAGTACCGTATTACTGCTGATTACATCATCATGATATCGTCATCATCAACATCATCATTATCATCATCAACATCATCATCATCATCATCATCATCATGATGATCCCTATCATTGTCTTCATCTTCATCTTCATCATCATCATCATCATCTTCATCATCCTCATCATTGTCATTGTCATCACCATCATATCGTCGCTGTTTTCACGAAGTGACGGTAGTAAAAAAAAATTGCATTCACTTTGCGTTACGATTTTCCTCGCTACCGTCACTTCGTGAAAACAAGGACGATATATTATCATATCATGTTATCATGTTATCATCATAGTTTTCTTATTCTTCATTGTTATTAGTAGTTGTAGTAGTAGTAGTAATAATATCATTTATAATGTTACCTCTCTTCTCCATCTGCAGTAACAACATTCCTGAGTTCCAAGACTCGATCCTTGGCACCTCACAATCCTCGTATCGTCCTCCTGGGTCCCACCGGTAGCGGTAAGACCGTCCAGGCCGCCCTGCTGGCCAGCAAGTATGGCATCATCAACGGTATGTCGAGCAGTCAATTACTTTTAGTAAAACCAGAATCTTTTGGATGATCTTTTAAGGTTAGGTTATGCGTGGTGGTGTGTATGAATTCATAAGTTTGCGGTTTCATTATGAGTATAGTCCGGAGAAGGACTGTTGGGTATGAGAGGGGATAGAAAAGAAAGTAAGAGAGAGGTATTTTGGGGTTTTCTTCCTATGGAGGACTACTTGGTATTGTGTGTATAGACGGGGAGAAATTAAAGAGAGGTGTTTTAAAAAAAGTCCTGAAGAAAACTGGTTAATCTGGTTATGAATGCAAAGAGGGATCAGGACTCGACATTCCAAACAGGTTGACAGTTCGTCTCCATCGACTGTGCCTCTCCACTTATGATAAATAGTGATGTCTGTATTGATACAATATCATACCATAGGGAAAAGGCATCGTCTAAATACAAACTTGTTTTTTCTTCACTTTTTAAATGAACAATTTCTTCAGGTCAGCTTCATTGACTGTTCATCTCCACTCATGATGATGAACAGTCAACCTGACTACATGATAAGAGTCCCCCATTATCCCCTTTTCTTATGTTAATTGAGAGCTGATTTGATGAGATAACCACCTGTCAGTGACCTTGCAGGGAGGTCTAATCCCCCTGGCCAAATTAGTGCAGGCAGGCTTTAAACCTCAATATCTCTTTACATTCATAACCCAGTTCACCAGTCCTCCTCAGGACTCCTCTCACAAAAGAACACTTCTCTTAAAAACCATCTGCACTAGTTTGGCCAGGGAGGATTAGACCTCCCTGCAAGGTCACTGACAGGTGGTTACATGTATCTCATCAAATCAGCTCTCAATTAACATAAGAAAAGGGGATCGTGGGGGACCAACAGGCACCGATTAGGCACTGTTTGCTATATGGAGGGTGCAAGTAGCTATGTGCAGTGGGGCTTTAATTCTCTATCTCTATCCATGCAATACCAGGTAGTCCTCCGTAGGACAAAATCAAAAGAATACCTCTCTCTCTCTCACTTTCTTTCCTATTCTGGAAACTTTTGCAATTTTCAAAAGAGATCCGTTTTTCCACGCAGTGGTGTGTCATTTGTTATTCAGTTTTGTTGTGGCATGAATACTTTGCGAATCTCTTACAAATCACAAAATTTGCAAATATTTCATGCAAGCAAAATTTGGTCTAAATTACAGTACAGTGAAATCTGCGTATCAAGACCACTCGAGGGAGAAAAAAAACATGTTTTTTTTTTTAAAGGCAGGTGGTCTTTATGTACAGGTTTTTTTAGGACATTTCTATGAGAAACAGCATTCAAGGAAAACAGAAAATGTGGACTTAATAGACAGATGGTTTTTCTACGCTGAAACCTGCTTTAGCGAGCTCCTGTATAGACAGATGGTCTTTCTATACAGGTGCTTGCTAAAGCAGGTTTCACTGTATAAGGGGATCCCTAAAGACTACCTGATCTAGGGTTGTTTGTTCATAGTCAAGGTGTGAATTTATTGATGATATGTTTCAAGCATACAGTGTATGTAGTTATCCTTTTATGTAGTATTTACTCATGAATAACTAGGTCTAGTTCAATTAGATTTTTCCTTTGAAAGGGCAAATGTTGTTGCATACCATTGTTGATAGGGGAGACTTGAATTTATGCTTTCAGTCATGACATCTTCTTTCAGACTTATATAAAGTCCCAAGTCCTAAATAATATTTGGAATTCAGGCTGTTTTTTTTTTCTTCGTCTTTATTTTAATTTTTCCACAACCTTGAGACATCCTTGTAAACATATATGTGTTGTCAGGATGGTGTATGGATAGATGTGTTTGTACAGCTGAACACAATGTGTCGGCTACATGATGAATGCTTATCTGTGCTGCATCCTTCTACTACCTTGTATCTATAATTATTACCTAATTTAGTGGAAGTGAATATGAGATCATTATAATCTCTTTCATTGAAATATAAGGAAACATTAGTATTGAGTAATGGTAAAACTTTTAGTAGTAGTAGTAGTACTGGTTGTAGTAGTAGTAGTAGTAGTAGTGGTGGTAGTAGTAGTATTAATATTAGTAGTAGTAGTAATATTAGTAAGAGTATAGTAGTAGTAGTAGTAGTAGTAGTAGTAGTAGTAGTAGTATTTTTGTGTTATTATATTATTTTTACTATTATTAATATTTTTATTATCATTTTTATATTTATCATCAATATTATTGTTATTATTAAAAGAAATGTGTGTGATCCAATATCATGTCATGAAGGATAAGGCATTGTCTAAAAACAACTTTTCTTTTTCTTTCTCACTTTTAAATGAACAGTTTCTTCAGGTCAGCTAGTGAACGAAGCTATCGCAAGTGAATCCAAGGTTGGTGAGGCCATCAAACCCTATGTCGAGAGAAAAATGCTTGGTAAGTCGTATCACATCAAAGTAATAATTTTTTTTTTTAATTCTTCTTATTAATCTCAGACTAGGGGGTCGGTGTGACATTATATATGTCTCAATTTTTTGCACAAAATTTTGTGAGAGACTTAATTATTTCTAATAAGTCGTATAGTCATTTTTTTTTTTTAATCCCATTTTGTACTTGCAGGTGTTTATTTAAAGTGTGGCAAATTTGGTTTACCGGTAAATGAAAAATGCACATCCCACTCCCCTTTCCTTCCCTACCAAATCTGCATTTCCATCAACAGTTGTTTCCTGCAAAAACAAAGACTAAAATTTAAAACAAAAGAGATCTGAGTGACAACGAGAGAAGAAAAAGTGCTATTGCAATGTTTGAACACTAACAAGGATAAAAGATGTAACTGAAAAATGTGGAAAGCTAATGGTTAAATAAATAACTCTGACACTTGACGTCAAATTAATCATGCTTCTGGAAGTCTTTCCATGACATTGAAGATAAATTAGTTTGATAAAGTGCACTGTACACAGTACCCTCTGCAACAGGTGTGTACCAGCTGATCATGTACATTACCATAAAATCGGTATCATCTATTTGTTTTAGGCTTATATACCACGCAGGTAATTGTGAATGAACTTTGCAAAAGAAGGAGCAGAGGAATTTATAACCATCATAAAAGTCTTGTGAATGAAGTGGCCCCGATTATTATCTAGGGTTTGAGTATAAGAGTTTTGGTGGTATATACTGTACATCTGTATTGGTGGGATTATGAGAACAGAATAGAAGTTTCATCTCTTTAGTCAAATGATCTTCTGATCTTCGAGAGTGAGATTTAAATTTTTAAAATTACGTATTTATATGTTTCATGTTCACGATACTTTTTAATTACAATATCGTTTCTGAATTGAACTTGTAGTAACAATTGCTTCAGGCTAGTTTTCATCAAAGATATTCTAATTTGGTTTTAGGTTAAATTTAGCGTAAAGGTTTGGGGCAAAGGTTGAAGTTAGGAATTTGCATTTAAATTTGCTGGTCCTTGATATGGAATTCCCTCCCTTCTGATTTAATCTCCAGCAGTAATGTTACTTTATTTAAAACCAAACTCAAACGTTCAATAATAACTACCTACGTCGAATAAACATTTCATTTCATCTCTCCTCCCTAGGTTTTCTTATTTCATCTATTCCTATTTCCCTTCACCTGTATGTTTTTAATTAAGTTTGTTTGTATCTAATGTTTATTCTATATATATTTCTTTATGTATTAGGGGTCCCATCAATAAAGCCTTGGTTTTTAGGGGCATCCTGACCATTTACACTGTATCAATAATGTTCAGACACGCATGATTTGTATACTGTTTTTGGTTTCAAAACGAATTGGAATTGGAAAATTGAATTGGAACTTCTTTTGTTTCTCATGCATGCACAGTCCCTGATAATCTCATCCTGAAACTCCTGGACGAGAGGTTGAGTCAGGTGGACTGTTCCACTCGAGGATGGGTGTTGAGAGGGTTTCCGCGTACGAGGGAGCAAGCCGAGAATCTCACAGCAGCAGGCCACGAACCCAACAGGTAGGCAAGGACATTTTGATAAGATTATTAAGACCCATTGTTATACAGTCAAACCTGTCTATAGCGACCGCCCAAGGGAAGCACAAAAAGTGGTCTTTGTAGACAGGTGGTCTTTGTAGACAGGTTCCTTAAGTACATGTTTCAATGAGAAACCATTTTCAAGGGAAACAAAAACTGTGGTTGTTGTAGACAGGTGGTCACTAATGCAGGTTTGACTGTATATAGCAAACTCTCAGTTGTAAGGTCAGATTTCAATACCCTCTTTCTTGTGGTCTTTTAGGATGCAGCCCTGGGGTGGTATTCTGAACATTGTTGTAATTAGTTTTGTGTTATCTTTTGTTGTATCTCACAGAGATAGCACTACGCTAATATTGTTGTAAGTTGGTATTCTGAACATCATTTTATCCCTGTGTTATCTCTTGAAGGACCGCCTCTATCATATCTTTGACCACTGTTGACACGCCCATTTGTATGGACCCTACCAATCAAAATCTGTTTTATAAAAGCATGATAAGTAGGTCAACCAATAGAAATACTTTATGCCATATCTGAAGATGCGCCTAGCGCATACTAATCTTGGGCCTAATTAGTTGTTTGAGCGCTTATTACGCGCGTCATCATAATGCGCTGTTGAATGTGGATCATGAAGACAAATCACGCTTTCACTATGTTGGTTAAGATGAGAGCATTAAAATCGTCATATCCTAGCATGTAATATCTTAGAAAGTTCTCATCTGTGATGTTTCCGGTCAACACACAATCTTCTTCTTACTTGTTTATTGGCACGAAGTTGGTTTTGGGCAAGAAATATTGCCGCCATTATATCACCACAAAAGATACAACAACCCCCTACCTGTTGTAAATATTGTTGTAAATACCATGCAAGATAAGATAAGATAAAAGATACAACTTTCAGAATACCAATTATCTCGACATATTATCTCTCGTGCGCATATGCAAATGAGGATTAAACGCCACTTTATCAATAATACGCACAATTACAAGCGCACCAAACTATGAGCGCAGGCGCGGCCAATGAGATGAGAGAAAAGATACAACAAAAGATAACACAAAAGTTACAACAATGTTCAGAATACCAACTTCATCTTATCTCCAAAGATACAACAATATTAGAGATAACACAGGGTTCAGAATACCGCCCCTGGTGTAACAAGGTTATTTCATCGGTCCCAATGTATGTTTGTGTATGAGTGTTTTGTTTTTATATATATATATATATATATAAGAACAAATGATTCAATATGGGTAATCCTCCCTCACAGTAATATATACAAATAATGATTGTAACAGTTGGAGTAAATATCTTTAAGATTTCACTTCTTCACTACGACCGGTTTCTGAAGAAATGAAATTGAAACCGCTCATATCAAAGAAGTAAACTCTCAAGGATATTTATTTCAATTGTTTTAATCATTTAATATGTATATTAACATGTACATGTATATACAAATATATATATATAATCCTTTTAAACCATATTCGATTTTGTATGTACAATGATCTTCATATATATGTAACTTGGTACATTGAAATTGTAGCTTACCATAATATGGAAAAAAATGTGAAAAATCCTGCAGAATATAATTTAGCTCACTGATAACTAGCATATTGTTCCTTTTCTAGTTTTTAGGGGCACAGGTCGCATTCACTGTATAACCTTGTTTACGTTTTCTACACTTCTCTCTTGTTTTACTTTGTTTTATCTGGGTATACCAGTATACTCCCATCTACATACGAATCTCACCATACATGTGATTCTTGGTTGTACCTTTCCAACACGATTTTCTCTCATTTTTCTTTGGTCCATCAGGGTGTTCTACTTGGATGTCCCCAACGACTCTGTCTACGAGCGCCTCACCCTGCGATCTCTAGACGCCGTCAGCGGCAACCGCTACCACGCCCTCTACAACCCTGCCCCGACGTCCGACATCAAGGACCGCACCGCCCAGCATCCCTCGGACCTCGAGGAGAAGATCCGCGAGCGTCTGGCGGCGTACTACGCTTACTCGGAAGAGATCAGCGACTTCTACGAGGATGCGCAGCACATCAACGCCGACCAGGATCCACACACGGTGTTTGAGTGTGTGGAGAGCATGCTGGTCAGCCCTCTCCCGAGGACTCTCCCCACCCAGGACTAGATATGGTCGATGATTGCGAAAGGAAGCAGCTTTCCAATAGAGCATAGTAGTGAAGAGGTGTCCAAGAACAATAATCAGTACCATCCCACACTTTTTCAAAGACAGTATAAAGGACCAAGTTCCTGAAAAGGCCACAAAATTTTACTCGTATCATCACGATTTGAATTTTGCTAGGCAAGTTATCTGTTTTTCATTGTTCATTTTGATACAAATATTGGTCAATAATGTTTAATTTCACGATTCCTGAACTTATTCATGAACTGATTTTTTTCATGAAGGCATACAAGCTATCTTTGTTCGAAGATATTCAATAAAATATCACAACTGGAAAGTTGAAACCACATTTGGTACTTAAAGGGTTAAAGGATGTCAGTCTGTAAGTTTGTTTTCTTCATTTTTGAATTTTAAAGGAATTAATTATTTTATTTATCTCAAACAGACGTTTTCATTTTCAAGTTCCTTATTTTTCCTCAATCCAGAATTTTTTTTTAAAGGTGAAGTCACCGTGCAAAAGTGCTTGAAGCTCCTAACAGTCTTATAATAATAATAATAATAATAATAATAATAATAGTGGGTTCTTTTATCACAACACCTTTAACGACCAACTAGGCAGATATCCGACAATGGGACCTATTTTCTGATGTCTCAAATATTCAGTGCTCAATCGATATGATCACTCATCATACAACATGTTCACAGACTCTTTAATGATCTTATAGGAAAGTTAAATGGATGACATGGAAAGTTATTAGTTTATATAATATTATGTTCTTATGAAGAAAAATAAAATGTGCACACCAAAAAGATGAAAGAAAAGTCAGTTTGTTTTATGATAGCACACACTTTATTAATGAGACATTTGATTCAGAAATTATTTAAATATTTGTAAAATCTTTCAGAGAAGTAGTCATTTTAGTTGTGTCCCTTTTTTCTTCTTTTACAGATCAACATGCTATTTTTAAAGTAAATATATATTTGTCTTTTTGCCATGTTGACTAGTACCAATTCATAAATGTATATACATGTATATATATATTTAGCTGGTAATTTAGATCTGTACATATACAATATTTAAGATATTTCTAATGTCCTTGTACATGGTATATTACCTACCAGAGTTTATGCTGTTTGGTATGGCTATATAATGTTCAATAAAATAAAATTTCAAATTGAAATCAGGAGAAGAGACTGTTTTCTTGCTTCATGGTCTAGGCAATATTTGTTTCAGACTACATATACTTTAAAGAGGTTGAACAGAAGTGGGATTGTTTCAAATATCTGTTTATCTATACAAATTTAAAACAATGAAGAAAAAAAGTAGATCGGTCATTGAAACAAGTTATTCATTTACAAATATGTATTTACACAATGTCTCATTCAATCAGAAATTAATAACCTTGCAATTAAAGGTATTTATACTAAATATAAATGATTTAATTGTGTACGCTTATGATATATATATATACATTATATATATGATATACATTTTCTATGTACATGACTTATAACAATAACATCTTTACAAAATTTGGTCGTTACCCTTGGCCAAATATTCATTAACTTCTACTCTAAATTGCTCACCCAATAATATAGTTTGAAAAATATCTCCTTTCTAATAAGTTTTTACAATTCCTTTTTTTTTTTCTTCGTGATATAGACGTTGTTTTACAAATTCAAATAAAACAGAGACCTTTAAAATAGTAACCTATGCAATTTTGATAGCCATGTGCATCAATTAATGAAATGTGAGATCATGACGATAATATATTACATAATCTGAAGATTTATATTGGCAAAAAATTGCCCTTGAAACTCTTTGCGATCTGGTTCAGGCCGGGTTAAAGACTTTTAAAGTTATGCATTATTTTGATCATGTCATGCCTCTGATCTACTCTTTGTCCAACTTTTCAGCGATGGTTTGTGTCGAGGATTTCATGGATATCGATGACATAAGCGTCTCCTGCTTCTCCCAAATGCAAGCAAATGTTTTGATGAGAGCTTGACGATAGCGCGCATTTGTTATTCCGTAGACGTACGCGTTCAACGCAGAATTTACATACATTAACGTCTGAAATATGGGCGCGAGTGGCGACAAGACGTCAGCAACTTTCAAATAATGATCATCACCCATGATGCCTGCCACCATATAGGTAAACGTTGAGACTTGGTAAGGAAAGAGTAATATGAAAAATAATATACCTGTGACGAGAAGCATTTTGGTCACCGAATTGCGGACGTGCGTCATTTGGTATCGATCAGAGCTAAGAGCGATATCGGTGGTTACGCGCGCGTGTAGGCTTTTGATGATAAGTGTGTAGAGGGTAGAACTTACAACCATGGCGATGAAGAATGGAATGACTTGGCACCCATTCACAACTTCAATAAGCCATGGTTTCATGGCACCACAGTAACCGTAGACTGATGGATATCCGTCGTATTTCGGAGTGTCTGGGTAGATATAACACCTGTAGACCATTGGGTAGTGCCCGGGTATCAACATGGCGGCTAAACAGAGGCTGACGATCCAAGTAGCGATGATGAGCTTCATTGTTCGTTTCCATGTCGCCATCCGTCGATGCCAAAATGGCTTACATATTGCGTAATAGCGTTCCACAGTTACCATGGTTACCAGCAAGACCGATGCAGTGTAAGTGATATCGACGACGAAGGGAAAGAAGATGCAGCCGATGTTGCCGAAAGGGGTGTGGTCATTCTTCACCGGGGAAACATGGAACCTCCACAGTTTCTCGCCGACCCCCACCGACAGGTAAATCAGGTCAGCGATGGCCAAATTGGTCAAGTACATATTTGTGATGGTGCGCATTGATCGGACGCGAGCAACGACGAAGAGGAATAGGAGATTCCCAAAGAGACCGAATGCCAGTACGCATGGCAGGACGTATGACTTGATGATGATCTCGACTTGGTCTTTGACGAGATTCTCCTCTATGTATTCCTGCTCCATCGAGAGGTTGTAGGTATTATTGTAATTACATACGGGATCTGCAATCAACTGGTCACCCATCGTGAGTAGATTTCCTGCAATGTGGAACGAGAGAGAGAGAGAGAGGTTCAAAGATTATGATTATACTTCTGTAAAATACGCCGAAGTCTGTTGGAAACTTATTGTTGAATTGCCTGATATCGCAATTAAAAACAAAGAGTGGTTATTTTGCCATTAGAATCAAACAGACGGGATGAGCAACACCACCTCGGGGCTACCGTTTATCTGTATGTTTGTAATGTACCGGAGACAGGAGCAGTGGCGGATCCAGGGGGCCGCCCCCCTCCCCCTGGGAATTTTGTTTGTATTTTTACATTTTTTAATGTTTATTTTACCTTTTTGGGGAGATGGGGCCCCCTGGCGCTCAAGGCGGGGTCGCAATTTTTCAATTTTTGAGGGCAAAATTTTTTTTTTTAAATGCTCACTACCCCTCCCCCCCCCCCCCCCCCCCCACTGAGCGAAATTTTGGCCGATTTTCATATTTCAGCACACTAAATTTCAAATTGATTTCAAATTTTGGCCCCCACCCCTAAGAAATCCTGGATCCGCGCCTGGACAGGAGAGACCTTTATTATGCAAGTTTCTTTTTCGTTGGAATAGACAATTTGTACAAAAGTTCAACAAAAGTACAGTAGTTTAGAGCATGGAGTTTAGAGTTACGGGCCTTGAAACACTGTATATACACTAATATGATTGAGACGAAAGATATGATCATGGAAACGAATTTCAATTTTGCTTTTCAAGAAAAAAAAAATGTTTAAATACATTGCTCTGATATCGAGGAGAGGGGGGGGGGGGCATTGGGAATACTAGGTGGACAAAATGCAAATGAACAAGACCATACCGTAAAGGGGGCGTGGCAGGGGGTTGTTTCATTTCCTTTTTATGTTGTCTCCCCTTTTCTCTCTCTCTCTCTCTCTCTCTCTCTCTCTCCCTTTTGTTCCGCCATCTTAAAGGTTGGCACGTGCCGTTCTCCCGTATCTATTCCACTCTTCGTTATTATTGGTTAAGGCTTCAAACTACACCAAACCTGCATGTACGTCTCTTTTACAATCTGTATCGCGTGTTGACAAACCAATTTATCAAGGGAAGCAGCAAGATCGAATTTCATTGACATCCGCATACAAGGTATACAGAGGGAACAGCTGTTAACTTTCCACTTGATACATTTCAGTTTGCGACGAACACACAACATTTTAAGAATCGGGTCCAAACAACTCATCTTTCTTCCTCCCTCTTTAAAAAATATATTCGTATTATTCTGCAGTATTCAAATACTACTTGACAATTACAGATTTAAATTAAAAAATTATAGCTTCACATACTTTTTTCTTAGTCGTTTTCATCGTTTGTTCTTTATCTTCCACATCCTTTTCATCATCTTCATCATCAATATCAACATCAACATCGTCATCTTACGTACCTTACACCATCTTCATTTGTATCACCACTTCCATTATCATCATTACCATCATCATCATCATCATCATCATCATCACAATCATCATCATCATCCTCGTCACCATCATCATCATTATCATCCTCATCATCATCATCATCATCATCATCATCATCATATATTACCATCATCATCCTCGTCACCATCATTATAATCATCATCATTATCATCCTCATCACCATCATCATCATCATCATCATCATCATCATTATCATCCTCATCATCATCATCATCATCATTACCATCATCATCATCATCATCATCATCATCATATATTACCATCATCATCCTCGTCACCATCATTATAATCATCATCATTATCATCCTCATCACCATCATCATCATCATCATCATCATCATCATCATCATCATTATCATCCTCATCACCAACTTCGTCATTCTAATCATCATCACCGTCATTATGACCATCATATAATTGATATTATCAATATTATCAACATTCATACTTTTTCTTAATTCTTGTTCTAATCCATTATCCTCTTCATCTTCTGCTCGGCTACCTGCACATTGAAGCTCTCAAATGCTCAAATATTTGCACGATCCCAACAATGTAATACCAGACTGGGTAACATCACCGGAATAGCTAGGGGTGGATTGTAAACTCCATCCCCTACCCCCACCTTAGTTCTTTTAATTGCTGTCAGTAAATTTTGTAGCAAAATCTTTTGGGCACCTGAATGAGATGATTTTTTTTCTTCATTTTAATTTCTTGCGATTTCGTGAGCGCCAGGTGAGTGTGGCGTTTTCGGCAAATTGATAATTCAAGATTTCTTTTTTAAATTTGTGTTAATTTCATTTATTAATTTATTCATTTGGAATTATGAAAAACCAAATTTAAGATATTATATTTCCTCCCCTGAATGTGCCCAGTATTATTTTTTTATTTAACCACTTTAATAGTGTTTGTATCTTCTTTCTTATATTTATATGTTCATATTTGTTTTGCCATGGTCGTCGTCACCATTATCATGGCCGTGGCAACCCCCCTCCCTATTCCATTTCCTCGTCATGTTTGCACTTGACTGAGACACACCTCACCATTTCATCAAGTAATGCAACTTATTCTCAAGTGTCTTGTTTCATGATAATATTACTTCATACCGTTTATTGAGGGGCAACTGCTATTTACTTGAGAAATGTGCACTGCAATATGCGATACTCACACAAAGTATATTGCGTCTCACGGTTGTTGTTGTTTTTTTTTTATTTGTGATGGTTTCGCAGAATGAAGGTATTGATTGAGCAGTTTGATATCGCAATTGATTAATTCATGGATTGGAGAGTGACTTTATGAGCCTTTAGAAAATGTCTGGGTGAAGTCCCCCAGATTCAAGGTTAAAGTTTCATTGTCCATTAAATTTGCTGTCAGCCGGTATTAAATGCAATGTAAATTAACATAAACAAAACAATTGCATCTTGTGCTGAGAGACCGAAGGACTGTTTCAAAGTTTGAGTAAACATCACCCCCCCCCCCCCCTCCCGGCTCACATGACCGGGCAATGTATACTGAATTGTCCCCGTGCATGTTGAAATAAAGTGAAATGAAAGAAAATGTGTAGACAAGAAGGCATAGTTCATTCAGATATGAATATATAATAATGAACTGAAATAAATAAAATCATAATCAATACGGGTATACAGAGAGAGAAAGAGAGAGGGAGAGAGAAAGGGAGGGGAGGGGTTGGGGTCGGACCCGTTTCCGCAGATTCTGATTTTGTTTTCTTTCTCAACTCCACCCACCCCCCCCCCCCCCCCTCTCGCTCTCTCTCTCAATCCTACTTTGGCCTTTAACTCCGCTATTCTTTCGCTCTGTCTCCCTTTCTCACTCTGTCCTCCTCAGTCTCTTTCTCTCTCTCTCTCTCTCTCTCAGTCTCTCTCTCTCTCTCTCTCTCTCTCTCTCCTCTCCCTCCCCCTCTCTCTCTCTCTTTCTCTTCCCCTCCCTCACTCTCACTCACTCTCAGGCTCTCCTCTAAGTTCTTCCTTATTTTTTTCCATTTTCCTCCCTTTTTCTAGGCCTTTTAATTGAAGAAAAAAAAAAATCATCCATTTCATCATCGGCCATTATCACTTACCGATGAGCAACAAAAATCGATGGATCCCTATATAAATACACTTAGGTGGTGTGTTTGTGTTTAATCCATAATCTCTTAATACATTTTTGGATACCGATATGATGTTGGTACCGAGAGTCTGGAAGCCAGTCAGTCCTCCCACGAATGGGTAATGGAACGAATTTTTTTTTTGTTGGGGGGGGGGGGGGGGGGGAGGGGGCTGCATTTTATGCGGAAAATGAAATGCAAATTTAGAAGGCTATTGATTAGGGGAGGGTGCGGGAAATGGTCCAGGCGTCTCTTTTTCTCGTCATTTTCCCCTCCCTCCCATTCCCTTTCTCTCTTTTTCTTTCTTTTCATTCTTGTAACTACTCGATCGGGACGGGGAACATGACATACCCCTTGAGCTGTGGCACCGAAGTAGCCAGGTCACTGCTCGGACCACATCTGCAATAATATAAGTTTTAGCCGTGACACCAAACAATTACACCAAACAATGTCGCTATTCATAAGGTCCGCTATTCATAAGGTCCGTTATTCATAAGGACCGCTATTCACAAGGACTGCTTTTCATAATTGGAGAAAAGGGTCATTATTCATGAGGTTCATTATTCATAAGGACCGCTATTCATAATCAGAGAAGAGGGTCAGTATTCATAATACGAGAAGAGGGTCGCTATTCATAATGCAAAATGAGGTTCGCTATTCATAATAGGAGAAGAGGGTCGCTATTCATAATAGGAGAAGAGGGTCGTTATTCATAATAGGAGAAGAGGGTCGCTATTCATAATAGGAGAAGAGGGTCGCTATTCATAATAGGAGAAGAGGTTCGCTATTCATAATAGGAAAAGAGGGTCGCTATTTATAATAGGAGAAGAGGGTCGCTATTCATAATAGGAGAAGAGGTTCGCTATTCATAATAGGAGAAGAGGGTCGCTATTCATTTACAAAATGAGGTTCGCTATTCATAATAGGAGAAGAGGGTCGCTATTTATAATAGGAGAAGAGGGTCGCTATTCATAATAGGAGAAGAGCTATTCATATTAGGAGTAGAGGGTTGCTATTCATAATACGAAATGAGGTTCGCTATTCATAATAGGAGAAGAGGGTCGCTATTCATAATACGAAATGAGGTTCGCTATTCATAATAGGAGAAGAGGTTCGCTATTCATAATAGGAGAAGAAGGTTGCTATTCATAATACGAAATGAGGTTCGCTATTCATAATAGGAGAAGAGGGTCGCTATTCATAATAGGAGAAGAGCTATTCATAATTAGAGTAGAGGGTTGCTATTCATAATACGAAATGAGGGTCGCTATTCATAATAGGGTCACTATTCATAATAGGAGTAGAGGGTCGCTATTCATAATACGGGATGAGGGTTTTTATTCATAAAATGAAATAGGCCTAAGCAATCTCCAAAATGCTCATAACAAATGGAATTATTGGACGGAGGACACCCCCAAGGCGATACATGGCCCTAAATATTTGTCTTGTTTTAAAGTAGGTTTGAAATTTTTTATCCAATG